CAGCTCTGCTGCCTAATGACAAGGGGTCGTTTATACGAGCTTTACCAGTAGCTACAGCATCCAACCAATACAGGTGAGTTGTGTAGGGCGCACTGTGCGTGCTGCTGCCTCCATAACTCTTCATCAGGTTATGAGCCCAAATAGGCAGCTTGCGTCTGCGCGGTAACTCGCTGCAGCGCGTTGCGCCTCGCTCACCTGTGCATCGCCCTATGCGCCCTCACAGGCTGCAGTGTGGCTTGATGCGTGATCATCGCCGTAGGCGCTGTTATCAGCAGCCATCAGGCTTGATGATCGATCCTGGGGTAACTCCCTAATGGAGCCAACAGCATGGAGCAGTGCGCCCTTATCGGGCTGCATAGCTTCGCTGATACTGATGAGATCTCAATACAGATTTCAGATCTCTCAATCGCTCCTCAAACAATGTCGAACAATCTGATCGCCGTTGTCCCCGTCCTCGACGGCTCGAACTGGTCGCTCTGGTCCCAGCAGATGAAGGCGTACCTCATGTCCCAAGGCCTTTGGGGACACTGTGACGGTACAATTATTATGCCTGACCCTGTCGTAACCACCTACAAGGACGGCAGCACCAGTGAAGATACCTCTGCACGAGACGCCTGGAGACTGAATGATACCAAGACCATTGGTACAATTCGTCTTCGATGCTCCCCTGCCGTTGCCACCCTTATTCAAGACAAGACAACGGCTATAGAAACCTGGAAGGAGCTCAATTTCACGTATGGTATCTCATCTCTTGCCTCCATCTATAACGAACTGCGTGGGGCGTTAACTACCAGGATCCCAGCCGACCAACATCCCGCTCCCGCCTTTGCCAAGATCACCAAGCATTTTAACGCTTTGGCTTCTGAGAGCCAGACCCTCCCTAACTGTCTCCAGGGATTGATCTGTCTCAATGCGCTCCCTCCTCGGTATGACTCCCTCGTTCAAGTCTTAGTCCAGGGATCGACATCGACTATGGACATTGACAAAGTCCGGGAGGCTGTCGTCACTGCCTGGGAGCAATCCCAGAACAAGAAGACAACACAGCTAGGTGCGCACAAGATCTCGGCGGTGAAGCGTAAGCCGGGCGATCCCTCCTTTTCTTCGCAGCAGCAGCAGCGCCCTCAGGGCAGCAGCAGCAATGCGCGAGATGGGAAGAGGCGCCCTTATCGCGGCAAGCGCGCAGGCAAGAAGCGTCAAGGGCAAAACCACGATCACCACCATGCCCACAACGTCTTGATCGCCTCGACCGTCTCCCTTCCTCCTCCGACTATCGCTCACGTCCTCGACATCGCGCCTACCGGCAGCAAGACTCGGACGGTCAAAGAGCAAGGTCCATTCCACCCGCCTCCTTCGGCGGATACCAGTCACTACAACAACAAGAGGATCAAGAAAGCCTTCAAGCTCGCGTGGGACCTTGACATAAGTCCCACCAAAGAGGACATCAAGGTCTTGGACGCTCTTGTCGGGCAAGTCGACCCGGACCCGGATGTCGACATGGAGGATGCCGACTCTGTCGCCTCCAGCCGCGCGTCCAAGCGCGCTCGCTTTGAAGGAGTCGCTCGCGCGGATGACGCTGCGGACAGCGACCACGATGACAATCAGTCTATCAACTGGGGTAGTGACAAGGACCAGGGGGAGACTGTCAGTCTCGGCGACGAGGAAGACCTGGACCGCACTATCGCAGAGGCTGCTGGCTTCGACCAGAATGCCTTTATCAACGAGCACTACTCGTACGTGCTATCTTCCCCTTTACAGGACTCCACTGACGCACCATCACAGTTAGGGCAGCGTAGTGTAGATCTTAACTTGAGTCCTGTAACGCTGGCTTTAATATATTGCACTCATGCGCAAACTTATGCTGCGTGTGCAAAATGTAAGGGGAAAGATAAGGCACAACAGGGTAATACCTGGATCCTCGACTCGGGGGCCTCTCGACATTTCACTTATGACATGAGTGATTTTATCGACTTTGAGGAATTTAAGCAACCTGCGACCGCGTCTACCGCGAATGGGTTTGCTCGAATACTCGGGTTTGGTACGACTGTCCTGAATTATTATATCAAGGACGTTGGGAACATAACCACTCGGTTATTTCCAGTTTACTATATACCTGACCTGAATATTCGCCTCATGTCACTTGGAGTCTTACTCCAGGATAAGCTAAAAGTGTCTGGTAATGACCGACACATAAGTCTATATGAAAAGGGATTGCGCGAACCTTTATTCAGGTTTTTACCGCGGCAGCCCGGCGACACTATCTACAGTGTCAGTACAATTCCTGCACCGGATGCGTACTCTATATTCCCAACGATCTATGCGGTCGATTATGGGATTATGCACCGTCGCCTGGGACACCCCTCTAAGGAAGTCCTGCGGCAAGCTAGGGAACACACTAAAGGTTTCCCCACCAACCTGGAGTTTCCATCGGAAGACCCAGTATGCCCTGGATGTGCGGAAGGGAAGATGCCTTCTAAGACTTTCCCGCCATCCACTCTACGGGCAAAAGAACCGTTTGAGTTAATTCATTCAGATCTTAAGTCATTCCCCGTAGACTCCTACCACAAGTATCGGTACACAATCGTCTTCTTTGACGATTACACCTCCTATGGATGGGTCATGCATATGCGCTCCAAGGGTGCTGCAATTGCTAAGACTCGTCAATTCCTAGCCTACGTACAAAATCAATATGGCAGGAAAATTAAGGAGTGGATGTCCGATGCAGGGGGAGAGTATAAATCTGATGCATTTATCGAGATGCTCAGAGATGAGGGCATAAAAATCCGACAGAGCGCACCTTATGCGCACCAACAGAATGGTCGCGCTGAGCGCTTTATTCGGACTATAATGGACAAAGCGCAGTCAATGCGGCTAGAGTCCTGCTCACCTCCATCTTGGTGGGAATTTGCAGTAGACCATGCTGTTCACGTCTACAACCGGACCCCTTTGAAGCGCCATCAATGGCTGACTCCTTATGAGGTCCTGAACAAAGAAGCTCCCGACATCAAGCACTTACGTGTCTTTGGATACGGAGCGTATGTCTACCTGCCTAAGGAAACCAGACCCAATAAGTTATCGCCTAAAGCTGAGCTGATGACTTATATTGGTGTCGCTGATGGCGGCCATGGCTTCAAGTTCATGCGTGCCAATAATAGTATAGTCACTCAGCCTACTGCGCTGTTTGACGAAGCTATGTTCCCTAAATGCCCTAATACAAAGCGACGGGCAAGCACTAGGCTGCAAAGTGCGCCTAAACCAGCTGACAGTCAACCAGACAATTCTGATGATGACTGGATCACCGATGACGATGAGCCAGACTCACGTCCTCCTCCTAAATCCCAAAAGGGGCCAGGCCAGGATCGTGACGACGAACCTGTGCAGCCTGAGGCGCGAGAGCCTGAGAACCCGCCTTCTCCACCTCCGGGGGATCCCACGCCACAAGATGAGCCGCGGAGACCGGTGAGAGAAAGGAAACCAGTAACTCGCCCGGGTGATATCTACGGTGAATCGCGGAATCCCGTAGAAACCTATCGCGAGATTGAGTCAGACAAGAAGTGGAAGGATTTAGTTGGCGAAAAATCTAAGACGTCTCGCACAGCTCGCCAGTCCAAGCAGAAGCAACAGGTTCCCGGACCTAGCTCTGCCCCTCCACCTCGCGACCCTCCTGCTCAATCCCCGGGTGCTTCGCATGAGCCAGTCGCTCCTGAAGCCTCTGACCAGCGGTCTGAACATGACGCTGATGAGTTACTTCTGGCACAGCTATGCCGGGAAGGGGGAGTACCATTGATTAATTACCTGCTTCTGAAGGCTATTTCGCCCGAGGCAGATGATCCAGACACGTCCAATGTCAGAGAATGGACGTACCGCGATATCCTTCGCTTACCACCAGAAAAGCAGAAGGAATGGAGAGCTGCTTGCCACGAAGAATTGGATGCACTTCGTCGGTGCAGAGTCTTCGACTTGGTTGACCGCCCTAAAGGGCGTAAAGTCATCAAATGTCGCTGGGTATTTGACGTCAAATCAGATGGACGTCGTAAAGCGAGATTAGTCGCTAAAGGCTTCTCGCAGGTTGAAGGTATAGACTTCGACCAAATATTCTCACCAGTTGTGCGCTTTGAGACAGTGCGCCTTATGCTTGCGCTAGCAGCGCTTGAGGACTGGCACATATCTGGACTCGATGTGCGCAATGCCTATCTTTATGGCAAACTGGATGAGGAAATTTATATGGAACAACCTGAAGGCTTCGCCGTAAAAGGCCAGGAGCACAAGGTTTGTAGACTGCGCCGTGCACTCTATGGACTTAAGCAAGCGGGGCTTGCCTGGTGGCGCACACTTGCTGAGTCTTTGGAGAAATTAGGCTGCAAACGTCTAACTACCGATGCTGGCATCTTCTTATTTAAGAAGGATGGCCGCATGGTTATTATTGTCGTCTATGTTGACGATGCCTTGTTCTTTGGCAAAGACAAGTCTCTCGTGACAGATATTAAGTCACGATTCATGAAGAAGTGGGAATGCAGGGACCTTGGCGATGTCAAGGAATTCCTATGCATGCGCATTACAAGGCAAGGCCGAGAGATTCATCTCGATCAGATCGCCTACCTTGATAAAGTGCTGCAGCATTGTGGCATGCAGAATGCAAAATCTGCGCCAACTCCTCTCCCTGCAGGCTATCGACCTGAGCCTCACAATGGCCCGGTCAATCCTACTCTTCGTAGCCGGTTCCAAACTGTGATCAGTTCCTTGCTCTATATTATGCTCGGAACTCGACCAGACATCAGCTATGCAGTTACCAAGTTAGCGCAATTTTCTGCTAATCCATCACAAGCCCATTTAGATAAAGCGCTGTATATCTGCCGCTATCTAATCGGGACTCGAAATTACACACTAGCTTTTGATGGCGCTAGTGGACTTGGTATTACTGCGTGCACTGATTCGGACTGGGCATCAGACCCCAGTACCAGGAAGTCCCAAACCGGCTACTTCCTTAAATTAGCCAATGGCATATTCAGTTGGCAGTCGAGAGCGCAGAAAACTGTTGCGCTATCCTCCACTGAAGCCGAGTACATGGCGCTCAGTGATTGTAGCCGCCAATGTGTATGGGTTAGGCAACTCTTTGATGAGTTAGGCTACCAACTCGGCCCCATTCCTATTTGCGGTGACAACCAAGGATCTATATTCCTTGCATCTAATCCAGTCACCGAGCGAAGGTCTAAACATATTGACATTCGCTATCACTATATCAGGGAAGTCATCGAGCAGAAGAAAGTTGAAGTATTCTACATCGATGGCGAGAATAACCCTGCAGACATGTTCACTAAGAACTTAGGACATGTCAAGTTCCTGCGCTTCAGAGCGCAACTTGGACTTAGGTTCTACAAGTAATCTAAGTCAGCCCAACGCTTGCATGCGCGATTATCCGCGGCATTTAGCGAGGGGGAGTGTTGAACCAGGCGCTGACTTAGCTGCCAGGTTCTACAGCGTACCAGAACGTACCGGAACCCTCTGGAATATTCTGGTATATTCCATTATTGTACAAGGCACGGAGCTCATGTGGGTCAGTGACATCATAGGTGGAGCGCAGTAGGATTATAGATGTTCCGCGTAGCTTAGTCAGCCTATGGGCCACAGTGTATATAAACCCTGCAGCTCTGCTGCCTAATGACAAGGGGTCGTTTATACGAGCTTTACCAGTAGCTACAGCATCCAACCAATACAGGTGAGTTGTGTGGGCGCACTGTGCGTGCTGCT